GTTGGTAATTTTTGTAGAGTATTAATTTTCGTTAATTTGGCCATTCATTTTTATCCACCGAATTTTAACCTCTACCACCCACACACAAGATAACTAATTAACAGAGCATATAGAGCGCTATAACTACTATTTTCAAGCCAGTGGAGGAGCCAAAGTCTTTGTCTATTACTCTATATTTTACTACAGTCATCTATTGGAAACTAGTGCTGTATATAGATCAAAGTGAAAAGGAGTTTGCTAACTGCTAGCCCTGAATATTTGTACCCACAAATATTAGCATTTAAGGAAATTTTTGAGATAATGCCAAAATATTAGATCCACAAATTTTACCAACCATACAGTATCTGTTCCCTTGTAAAAATAATTTGAGTAGCAGTAAATACTATTTATTTTATTTTGTAAAGTATTTTAAACAGTTGCAGCTAAAGGAAGAAAAAGTTTTAGTAAGACTGTATCTGATAATAAAGGTCCGTATTTTTCAATTGGTACATCAGTGACATTATTAATAGTTGGAGCTATTACAACCCAAGGTAGAGGAAGAGGAGCTGTTGTAGGACTACATGTATTTCTGAAAATGAAGGTACAAGTACATAATTTTTATGACCCCCCCCCCCATTGCTCATTTATATTATTTGCTTTTTCCAACAAATGAATCATGATACATGTTTTAATTTATAGATGAAGCAACTCCAACTAGTCAAAGAGGAACTGTCAGTAAAGGTTAGTATTCTTTCATTAATATACATGTGTTGCAAGTGATTTGTTTTAAAAGTGGGAGATTTAGCTGTGTCTAGAGGGAGAGGAACTGAGGTATTTCAGACATGTATGATTATTTTTAATTTTAAAATAATATTTAATCAGTTAAAGCGATATCAAGAGTGGAAGGACCAGTTATTAAAAGTGAGCCAGTTCATGAAGGTATTGTTCATTTATAATATTTTGTAGTAAAAGATATTAATGTTTGTTTGTATAGTGCAAGCAGCTCCAACCAGATTAAGTAGTGCCATGAGTCCGTTATTTCTTGCAAGCACTAAAGGTTGGCCATATACTTGTAATATAGTACACATTTGTTGCTTCTAACAATTGGCATGCACTTATACAACAGGGTCTACAAGTGAATCTGTTGGTAAAATGCCTGTGTCTGATAGTAAAAGTTAGTGTTCTTCAATTGATATGCATTAATGTAGCATAAATGATATTTACTTTAGAAGTTGGAGCTATGACAACTAGAAGAGAAACTGTTGTAGGCAGGACTAGCCTAACTGTTGGTCCAGGAGGCACTAGAGGACAAGAAGTTGGTTGTACTGATGGTAACAACTTATTTGATAATGTTATAGATCCTCATCTGGTAAAAATAATTTAAAAATTTGAGAAGAAGTAAATACTATTTATTTTTTATGTGTATGTATTTTAAACAGTTAGAGCTAAAGGAAAAGAAATTGTCAGTAAGAGTGTATCTGATAATAAAGGTTAGTATTTTCATTTGGTACATCAGTGACATTATTAACAGTTGAAGCTATTACAATCCGAGATAGAGGAAGAGAAACTCACAGTAATAATAAAGGTACATATGTATATGTACGTGTAAATAATTATTTTAAAGAAATTGTAAATGATATTAACAGCTTATTGATTAAGATACATTGGATATCAGGAGCTTTTTCATGGGCTTCTGGGTATATACATGTACATGTACTGTGAATGCATTACTATGCAAATAACTTAAAGAGGAGTTCTGAGACTATTTCTTGTTTCATAAATAGAAGAAGCCTGCGCTGCAGCAAATCAAAGGATTTGAAATGTAGTTCAGATGAAGTCAGTAGTGTCAATGATGTAGGTCATTATAGATTTTGTGCTAAAATAATACAGCATGATTATATGTATTTTATAAAGTAACAAATAATATATGTCAAGTAGCTGATGGACCAAATAATATAACTTTTTCTTCAATTTTATGTAGTTATTGTTTCATCTGTTGATAATGCTTCAGAAACTGAAGGTCAAGAAGGTGCGTAATAATGTTTTGATTATAGACTTTATGTTCACTAAACAGGCTGTTTTTTGGCTAAAAGATTTGCTTTTAAGAGATGAAGATAGGTGTCACATTTTAAATGGGTCATATTTAATTGTATCATTAATGCTGCTCAAATTTTACTGAAGCGAGACTATTTTGTTGGTGGATTGCAGCATCCTGTTAATGGGCAGCGTTATAAAATTAAATCAATTTCAAAAACAAATACTGAATTTGTTCAGATTTTGCAAACAGGTAATGCAAATATGCTTACTTGTTGACTTTGAATTCACATAATCATAGTTTGAAAATTGTGTTAAGCAAATTTTTTTAATTTCAGGTACTTCACACTGGGTATGTATTCTAATTACCAGTAATTGAAGTCAACTACTATGACAGTGTAGCTCCAACTCACTTTGCTAATGCTACAATTCTACAAATTGATAATATAATGCACACAATTGATTCATTCAATAGAGTGATATGAGTACCAGTACAACAGCAAGAAGGTTCAAAAGATTGTGGCTTGTTTGCAGTAGCGTTTGCTATGGCTGCCTGCAAAGGAAAGGAACTAAGTGAAGTGTGATTCGATCAAAAAATGATGAGACAACATCTGATTTTTTGCATTGAAAGCAAAAGAATAGTAGCTTTTCCTGAAAGGAAAGTTCAGCATTCATGTTCAGAGGAATCTACTGTTATTATCGATGTGCATTGTTCGCGTCGAATGCCTGAGTGCTTTGATGATATAATGATAGAGTGTGGATGTTGCCTATCCTGGTATCACAACAAACGTGTAACTGTAATTGATGAAGATGGTTGGAAATGTAACAATTGTGCTATGAAAAATAATTAGCATTTAATAATCTTTAACTCATTTATTAATTGTAGTTCATGATAATTATAATCAGTTCATTGTATTAAATTAAAAAAAACTGTCATTAGACCAACTGTTTCCTAAATAATAATTAATCAATGCTGATAGAAATATTTGTACAGTTGTAACTTGTAATACATTATCCTAGCTCAGCCATGTCCTCTAGCTCTACACCACATAGATGAGTCATTCATGGGTGATGCCACCTTCCGGCATCATTTCAACACATAATGTCACTATTCTTAGGATAGCCTTTCATGGTCCTCTTCCAGAACATATAGTGGTGATTTCAAAAGTTTCTATGCTCATTATATTATCAAAATTTTAAGTGTCAATACATGAACTAAGTATATCTCATAAAAGAAAGAAAATGCTGGTCCCAGTTCATCAGGGTCAGGCTAGATGCAATCTACACTCTAGTCACTCCACAACTGAGCTTTCTTGTTGATGCTCACTTAATTCATATTAACTCCCTAAATATGAGTTTAAAAACCTGAAAACAAGTGAAAAGAAAATAGTACATAAAATAGTAGCTGAAAGTAATAACAACCATACCAGTTTTAAATGGTTAAAATTAAATTAGATCTAAGTAATGATTATTGATCACACAACCGAGCACTTTCAATAATGGCTATAGCAATAAGTAGAGAACTTAAACTGTCCAAACTTGCTGAGCTTTTAGAATAAAGGTGCATCTATATTGCTACGAAAGAGGACAGCTGAGATGTTTGTAGAAATTTTTTAAAAGACGCGTGCCGATTAACAATGTTTTTGACCAGGAAAGAATTTTTTGACACCGAACTGTACCAGCTCTCATTTTTAAAGAAAAAAGGTAGAGCTGTAATCTTCTATATCCTGAATGAGCTTTTATAGTTGCACCTATTCATGAACATGTTAGTCTCTTTTGTCTAGGAACTACTTGTACCAGTGGTTGATAATGCATGGTGGCTGAACACTCATGGCCTACTCTAGTACATAAAAGCCGGTTCAGGGAGAACTCAGTGTAGTCTTGTAAGGCAGACAATTCCCAAGCTTTGACTTGTATAACTATAGTACAACTGATATCTTCTAATTGTTGCATGCCAGTCACAACTCAAAAATTGACTAGAAAATTAACAAAAATGTACTTAAATGCAATATCAAAATACAATGGCTATACATTGTGTTCCAGAGCTAATGACACTTTCGACAAAACCAATGTTTGGTTTTTGGATTCTTTAATCTTACACACTTTATGATACAAATTTAGGTAATAGTTAACATATGATTTAAGGAAACTTATGAAGGTCATGACAGCAATTTCTGCATGTGTATACTGGGTCATGCTTTTATCTTACAAAAACATCTTTTACAAGGAGCCAAGCATCATTAAAGAAGTATTGACAGATAACGTACTCATCGACATTCTCATCTAAAATAGCATCTGGAAAATTTTCAGGTCTGACATCGACATCTGTCTCTTCAATTAGCTTCTTCAAATTCTTAAGAAGCATGGTAGCAATTTCAGCACAAACAAACCAACCTAACATAACTGGGAAAAACATTAATAAAAGCGGTAACCATGTTACTTATTTTTTTAGCTGATGTGTGAAGTTTTATGAAGAGAACAAGTTTGTCCCTTTCTCCTTCTTTTCAATGGAAGACCAATTAGAGTTGATTCATGACCTTTAGGCCGCCCTCTCATACAAATTATGGGTAAAAGAGAAATTTCTAAAAATAGTGTAACAATCTTCACAATAATAATAATAAGCTTCAAGATAGTTATCCTTTTGTAATTGATTCTTCAATTCAGAAATTGAAAGAGCTGGAATTGATGGGTTAAGAGCAACAAAATGAGGAAAATGGGTTATTAATGCCTATACATGAGCATTGATTCAGCTTTAATATATGCTTGCATTGCAGAAAATTACCCATTTTAAAATGAAGAATGTAAATTCTATATTATATTATGGCAAACTTTGTGAAAGCAGGAAAAGACTGCATAGATAAATGATGCTAGTAAAAACAGGCAAGGATAAAGACATGTCACTAAGTATGCTAAAACTAATAAACCCTATGAACAATTACTAACCTCCAGGAACATTACTGTAAACTTATTTTCTTATTTTTTAAATGAATCAAAATTGACCTCACCATTTTACTCAGAAGGCTATTGTTGACACGAATTTGTGCTAATAATTAGAAACAAAGTTACCGCAGTTTGCAGTTGACTCTAAACACCAGCTTAGCTAGCTGTGTTAGCCCCAACTACATTAGCACCTAATCACTCACGTGACTGATTATACCACAGGCTGTAAGATGGCAGTATCATATTTTCTTGGGCCTCTCATCATTGGAAAGGCTGACCAGGCAGACCAACAGGTGAATAACACGAGAAACCAAGCCTCTAAGGTACAAAGGGGTTTGCAAAATCTAAAATAGTTCTACACCGAGGCTTCACTGTAATCTGGCGCCTGGACTAGTTATAATTACTGATTGTATATGTTTGAACAGTCAGTCACTTGTGCTCTTATGTTTCTAGGATATTGTGCTACCTAGTCAAGCCACAGCTTGTAGCCCAAAAGAGGATCTACATTATTCGGTAAAAATCATCAATCAGTCTCGTAAATCAAAGTATGAGATGCACAGGCTTTGTGTCAAAAAGAAATTTGAGACTATTGCGGAATTGAAAGAAGAATTAGTGAAAGCGTTTTGTGATAAAATAGGCAATAGTCCACCAGAGCAAGTAGGATATTTTGAGCCTGGGCATGGAGCGAAAGGTAAACAGAGGTGGCTAAATAATAGAGAAGACTTAAATGACATGTATGATATTCACTCAAGTTCTCAGGAAGTTATGCTTTGGACTTTCAAAATTATGACTTGGCACACCAAACCTCAAAGCATGCACGCTGCGCAGAGGATTCGACTGATGATATTACTTCTGGAGCTCCATCAACTAAGGTTACATGTAGTGAAGCTATATCAGAGAAGCTTAAGGAAGTAGATGAGATTGTTAAACAACTTTCAGGTATACATGAAGCCACTGGTAATTACACGATGGAACAATTGAGAACATGGGCACATCTCATACAGATGAAGAAACACACTTCAATGGATATTCCTCCGGATAAACCTTTTTTTGGCCAGTCTTCTAAGCGAAAACTTTCTCATACTAGCACTAATTCTACATTTCGTTTGAAAGTAATATCAATGCGTGGCGATTGTATTGATTAATTAAGAAAGCTCATGACTTATTCGATATCGGTGCAATCACTAAGGAGCAATATGATGATCTTCAAAGAAACATTTTTGATGACCTCAATGGTATGAGAAAGTGACAAATCTTAATGTATTGTATCATTCATTTATTCATAATCATTTATTCATGATCAATCTTAATTCATTACAATTAATTCGTAATTGAGCCAATAATAATGATGATAATAAAATAGCAATAATTAGTTGTGTTCATTGATAGTAATAGTAGTGATAATAATAAAAATAAATAATTAATATCCAGCATGTTTAATCCATGCAACACAATTATCAGTGGTGATGCTTTCAAATGCTGCTGATAATAAGGTCATAGGTGACGGAACTGCTTGCAAAAATTCTTCATGTTCCTTAAGATAATATTTTACATAACTGAAAGCTTCTTCAGTTGGATTATAATCGGGGCTGTAGGGTGGTAAGTGCAGAACAAGAATTCCAGCATTATTAAGAACGTGAACCACTGAATTAGTGCAGTGAATTGATGCATTGTCCATTACTAAAATAGACCTGTCATTCAGACCATCAAATGGAAGCATGTTAGGAATGACCTTTCCCCTGATGAAGTCACAAAAATGGTCTGAATTGACACTCGATTAATAAAATTCGTAAGTTATCAAGCCTATGGTGGATATTGCTGCAGTGGCATTGATCCCTTTCCTCTTAGTACAAAACGATGTTGTATTGCTCTTTCCCCTCGTAATGAGTAACCATTCTTTCTCATAAAATTCCTACGGTCTGCAACAGTTTCATCCACCCACACAAACCAGTGATTTGGAAATGTCAGAGCATGTGCCATAAAATGACTTCGTAATTGCAAACTTCTTTGTGTTGCAACAGACTGTATTTTTTTCCTAGTCATACCATACTTCTTCAAAAGTGTGCAAATAGTACACAAGGACACTTTAGTTCCTGTAGCTTCTGCCACAGCTTCACAAATTCATGTTGCTCCACTCTAGGGTTTTCTAAAACCATACTAATGACAAAAAGCTCTTCATAGTCAGAGCATAATGTGATGGACATCATGGGGCCTTCTCTGATGCAGCATTCCCTGAAGCAGAAAAGATTTTCATTACATTGTATACAGTCCCTATGCTAATACACAATGCCTGGGCTGTGGTATGATAATCATGATTTAAAGCAACACAGTGCCATACAGTTCTCCATTGCAGGTCACACGAGTATGCTTATGTCCTGCTTGGTTCAGAAGACTTTACCCATTAAAAGATCCATGATCTCACTTGATCAGTGTTGAGATCACGTGATCCCACGGAAACCAGAGGCCCTTTTCAAAGTGAACTGCAAACAGCTGTATATACTAGTGAATACAAAAGTCTCCAGTAGAAAATTTGTACCAAGTATAACTAAAGCTTTACTACAATTCTTTTTCGTGTTCTTTGGTTTTTATGACAAAGAAGTAACAAAACAAACTTAAAGCAGTAAAGACAACAGTCATTTATTATGACTATTTTGATGTTTCTATTGAAAAACAAGATTTGTATGTGGATCTTTATCAAACTGGTAACCAAAGTGTATTCATCATTTACAAATGTTTGTGGGGAATCCATATTGGTAGAAAGTTAAAAAACCTTTCAGTCAAAAGTGCAAAAACAGATCCAACATACTTTCTGCATACTTAATGAGGGGGTGGGGCTGAATGATTTTAGTTAAAAACTCCAAGATTTTGCATCACAAGTCCCAAAAACTGCAATAATGTGCTAAATACAATAATTAGCTAGTGCTACAGCAAGGTTTAAAGTTAATGCAATGGTCAAATAATTTATCTCAGAAGTAGCTGATTTGCACATTATGTCTGAAAGTAAGTTTTTAGTCAAATTAGGAAAATATGATAGCCGAGTTGCAACAACCATTTAAACTTGCTGTAGAACTAACTACTATTGTTGTGTTTAGCACATCATTGTAAGTTTTGGGACTTGTGATGTAAAATCTTTTAGTTTTCAGCTAAAAACCTTCAGCCCCACTCCCTCATGAAGTATGCAGAAAGTATGTTTATCTGACTATCTCTGTAGTTTTCATTCAAATTTAGTACTTTTATTTTTCATAACTAATTGTGCATGCCTACCTTTTCATGTCAAGCAACAGTCAGGTTCCCCCCCTTACTTTTAAAATCATTAACGATTATGCAGCCACTGTGTTGAGCCAATGGGTAAATTCCCAATTCCTGGATTAAGGGAAAGGGTTTTGCTCAGACAGCTTTTGACTTTTGTAGCATTACTTTAAAATGCCTCCTAAGAGTTCGCAGACTCCTAAACTGATGATTAAGTGGGCCTCTAAGCCAAGGAATATGATTAGTATTCGAGTGCACTTTAATAAAAGGAACATACTGATAATGGGAGGAGAGGAGAAGATTGTTAAGGGACAGCTGTGTATCATCGATGTTGTCATCATTAAAATGGACAAAGTCAATGAGTTAATGGACAAGGCTCCTGGTGTGAATGAGACAAATATCCAGTACTAGTCTGGAAGAAGACAATGCTCTCTAATCAGGAAGGGGTATAGTAGCTTCTTGCAAAAGGGCATGAGAGTGAATAGTTGATTCATTATGAGTGAGATCGAGAGGCTGAACCAGCTGTGGAAGACTCAGAAAAAACAAGACATGAGTTGATAACCTTGGCATGAGATACACTATTGACATAGATTGTAGTCTGGCCCCACCTCTTTGTTGTGTGTGGGTGGTGCAGAAGAGTCTGGTGACACTGCTACAGAATTTTTTGCAGAAAGGAATGCAATAATTAGTAGTTATTAAAGTTAGTAAAACATTGTCATATGACAAGTTTCTTTTTGAGGCTTTTCTTGACAAGTAAGCCTGCTTGAATGAGGAGAGCAACAGTAGTAAAAGGCAAGAAGAAATCTATCAGTTCTACTTAATCATGCACAATAATATGCAGGAGTGGAAACAGAATATCTATATACTTTTCAGCCAAGTTTAACATGAGAATTCTTCACGTTCTTCTCTTACTTCCTCTACAGTTATCTTCCGTTCCTTTGCTAGCATTTATCGTATCTACAGCAGGTTTGTCAGTCATACTTGCAGCCATTTTGAATAGGTCACGTGACAAAGTTACTTCCATGTGAGTGCTGCAATCTGATTGGGACGCTCAATCCTGCGCTTAGTGCCACAAATTCTGTAGCAGTGTCACCAGACTCTTCTGCGCCACCACCGCGCAACGAAGAGGCGGGGCCAGACTACATAGATTGCTGATTTACCAATACAAGTATCTCTTTTATTAACATGAAATTTAATATGAGTCCAGCGTTCAGTAAGTATAAGCCTCTCTGACGTTGACATGTTAGGCTTATTACGGTTGGGATAGACCCATCCTCCTTTTGACAAATGTACACCCGTCCAAATTGTAAAAAAACGGGGATGGCTTTAATTATGCAAGACTAAGTTCACTCTATTCTCCGTTTTTTTTATCTGGGTAGTCCTTCTCATCTAAATTAAGCACATTGAGTTTTTCGAGGTACCTTTTTCATATTTGAGTCTAGATTATTAAAATATTCGCTCTTTCTGAGTTTTCAGTCTCACAAAGTAGTCTACAGCACACACTTCCACAAAATCTTCCCCACAAGAGGGTGTGGTTTACACTTCAGACCTAACTATTAATTGATTATTGTTGATAAAAATTTTGTGACGCCTTTCAGTGAAAAAGATCTAGCCGATACCAACTTCAAACCGAGCCACAATCACAAGGTTACCAGAGCTATATGCTGAAATAAAAGCTAAGCTATGTAATAAGCAACTGGATAGTGCTGGGCGATATATCAAAACTGACAATATTTAATCGATATAATGCGGTATCGATATTTATCAATATTGAACAAATTTTAACAATAATATCGATATTTGACCAAACCCATTTAATAGTTAAATAGTTTTAATAACTACGTAAAATAATTAATCATTAATAACTGAATGCAGCAAGGGTATGCACAGATCACAGACAACATCAGCAAGCAGCAAGGGCATGCACAGATCACTACCACAGCAAGCAATTCAAGGGCATGCACAGATCACAGCCATACCACAGCAAGCAATTCAAGGGCATGCACAGATCACAGACATACCACAGACAACATAAGCAAGCAGCAAGGGCATGCAAATCACAGCAAGGGCATGCACAGTTGCAACACAGTAAAAAAGGCACAACTACCAGTCTGCCAACTCAATTCTTTCGGCTTTCTTGATCTTCTCAGTGTTATTACTGTTATAACTTTCTGGGTTTTTTCTAATGGCTTCAGTTGTCAGGATTGTTTTATCCAGTACACAAATCATTCCTTCTTCACCTCAACCAGATCTTCAACCAGTACCATCGGTGGTAGTTACTCTATTGTTAGCAATGCTGTTATCCAGAGTTTGTCCTCT